CCTTCATTTAGGAAGAATCTGGACACATGGTATGGCTCCTTCTGTCTTTCTTGGAAACTTAATATATACCCTAACCTTTGGTTCTTCTACCAAATGTAAATGTTCCTGATGAACTCAATAACTACCTCAGTATTTATATGAATTTTATCCCCACCACCACATACACACACACACATCCCAAATCTGAACTAACTGAAAAGCACTGACACCATCAACATAAAGAGAGGAGGGTCAAACATCAAAGTGTTTTCTCTGGCTATTTGGCTCTTTTTTGGGACTTGGGATCTAGGTGCCTAATACAGCAAATGGTCCCCGATAGAGCTCTCTAGTTGTTCCACCTGGCTGGCCTGCAAGGCTTTAGATGTGTATTCCAAAGAACTCCTTTCTGGAACACGAGCCTAACTGAACATCACATTCATCATTTGAGGCTCTTGCCCAGGTTCCCTTGCCCCCTGCCACCAGCATGCACACATGTGCAGTTAGTTGACTGGTTGACCAGAAAGATGGGCTAGTCACCCACAGCTCTCCCTCATAGAATCCCCTCTCCTTGGAAGCTGGCTTGGTACCAGTTCTGTTGTCTTTTCAGTGTCAGACAAAGACATTTCCGGATGTCTAGGCTTTCCAGCATAGAATAAGAACTGGCTGATCAGGCTTTCTCCTCTCTGCTGAATGTTTATGCTGAGAGATTTCCCCCCACCCCCGGTGCCGCTGGCTTTGCTGCCTGCTGTGATTTTATACTGACAATGCTCAAATTCTGTTCTTGCATACCATCATAATAATTCACTGAAAATGGCTTAAAGATATTTTAAATAAAATAATGTTTTATATATAACAACAACAGGCAGTGACACTAACTTACTGAACTACTATTACACTCTGGATTCAATACTAAACAACTCTATGTATTTGGTCAGAAAAAAGAATGCACTTTACAAGGGGGCAGGTAAAAATAAAATGCTAATTGTGGATTACCATCCTTAATTGGAAATCATGTTTGGTTTTGCCCTGTGTGGTGAGGACATAAGGATTTTACCGTACCCATGATCTCTAGACTTGTGATTAGAAATGGTTAAAATCAGAATGGTTAGAACTATCCTTTCTGAGCTAAAAGTATAGGGCTTCTTATAGATTGGTAACTAGGTGCCTTGCCTTGCCTTGCCTTGCCTTGCCTTGCCTTGCCTTCAGGAGATAAGAACACAAATTGAAAATTTTCTCACTAGGAGTTATAAATGGAGAGTTTACCAAAGTTTACTCTTAATCATATATGATCTAGAGCATGGGTCCTCAAACTACAGCCCGCAGACCGGATCTGGCCCGCCATGCTCATTTATCTAGCCCACCATAGAGGTTTTGGACTCGCCATGCGGCAAGGCAGCAGCTTGCTCATGCAGAGATCATTTTGGACTTTCTCAGAGAAAACGATCTCCACACACACCTGCACACAGCCCGGCCCAGCCTTCGCCCCCCACCCGCACCACCTTGGCAGCCCGTGCCCATTGCCGGCACCTTTCAGCTGGCCCCCTCTTGAAAAAGTTTGAGGACCCCTGATCTAGAGGAAGAGCAGGTGACCAGGTAACCTCCAGCTGCTTTGTCCCCAACTTCCATAATATTTGGCCATTGTAGCTAGTAGTGATGGACGTTGCAGTACAAACTAATAGAAAACAAACAATTTGTTTGGTCATTTGATTTGTACCTTGCCTTTTTAGCAAAAATTGTGGCTATAGGGATATGTAAAGTGGATTAAAATAATAAACTACACTGAAATGTCATAAAATATACCAAAATAAAAACAGCACCAAACTCAACTGATCACAGCTGAATGGTGATATAACCAGGTTTCTGGATGGTATTCCATTATTCATGGTAACAGCCTAAGCCATGGGTCCTCGAACTGCAGCCCAGGGGCAGGATCCGGCTCACCATGCCCATTTATCTGGCCTGCCATGCCCATTTGGACCCACCATGCGCGCTCGCCGCTGCTGCCCACCTCGCCTTGCATGCAGCGATGAAGCGGGTTGCTCACTTGGGGAAAACAATCTCCAAGCAAGCAAGCTGCTGCCTCATGTGCCCACCTCGCCTCCCCTTGCCATGCGTGCCCGCTTCGCCTCCCCTTGTCTCGCCGCATACCCCGCCTCAGCACACGCACGCACCCACACGCGCCGCCCCCGCCCCCATCCCCGTGATGGCACCACCTTTCTGGCCCGTGCCCAGCACTGGCAGCTTTCAACTGGCCCCCTGGTGGGAAAGTTTGCGGACCCCTGGCCTAAACCAATTGTAAAGAGATACAAAAGGATGTTCGTAGGTAATTCATCAGCAGAAAGGCACATGGAATTCAGTATAAAGAAATGGAACATGTTGGACATTGGGACACATAATCCTCACATCAGATGTCTGCTGATGGAGTGTGAATAGACAGTAATTTCTCAGGGAGATCTGGAAGTCACAGTAAAAAGCTCAGTGTGTCAGGACAGAATGCAGTAATATCGAGAAAGGGAGAGCTCTGTGTTAGAGATTACTAGAAAGGCACTGAAACAAAGAAAGGCACTGAAGCAAAGACTACCCTCAGCATTATAGAAATCGATTGTGCGTACACATCTAGGCTGTTGTATACAATGTGGATTGCTTTTCCCCTTAACAAGAATGTTTCAGAGCTTGAGAAGGTACTTTAAAAAGAGCCACTGGGGGAGGAATGTTATACCCCATGGACAGCATCTGAAGGCCTCCAGGTACTTAGGTTTCCTGGATCTGAGGCTAGAGACTGCACTCCAGTACCAGGAGGAAGAATCTGTAATCCAAATCCACCTCCCTCCCTCAGAACTGGTGTGGAAAGGGCCACTCCAGCTGCTTCTCTAAGGTCAGGAATACAACCTCGGGGAAGGGCAAAAGGGAGCATTTTGGTGGGCAGCAGGGAGAGGAGACAGGAGAGATTGGATACGAGCAACTCTAAGGTAGCTCTAGCTTCCTTTTCTTCCCCTGTAAACTGTCCTTGCTACATGGGTGGAAAAGTCCATCTAGCAAAAATTTTGGGCGGGAGGAGAGGGAGGCAAAGGCTGCCTCTGCCACTCCTCCTGCCCCGCACAGTGTGAGCTCAGCCTCCAAGTCTGGCAGCTTATGGGTATCTTAATAGATTAGACTTGTTGTAACAGGTTAGTCCATTGCAGATTTAGACAGAAATGTTTCTACCATGCTGTGAGTTGTAGGACTTTTCTGTCTAAGCTTACAAGAGTTGTATACTAAGCTGGTGAGTGGACGTCTTTTCTATGGAGAAAGATAAGAAATTTTAAGTGTTTAATGAAAAGGAAAAAATGTGATTAGCGAGTAACTCAAATGTTAAATATTATGATAAATACTGAAATATCATGATAAATTTTCATTGGGGGCAGAAATTTGAGGCCTCGCCTTTTACAGTACTTCAAAAAGCAAACAAAACTCTTTCCGCCCTCTTTTTCTACTGCTCTCCTCTGACCTGGACATTAATTTGGCATTGATTTTATAAGGTATGCTTCATTTTAAAAAACACAGGAAAACTTCTAATGTTCTTGGCAAAAATATATGTTTGCACAGTGGACTTTAGACACCTATCCAGTGCCAGCAGAGGTTTTTCATTAAAAGGACCTTGCCTTTCAAAATAACTGGCTGACTTTCTCTTTAATAAAATTAGCTTGCAGCCAAGTTGTTACCTGTCCTATTATACTTTGAATCCAAATTCATTGTTTATTATTTTCCCTGATAATATTGAAGGTTATTTCACTGTAGTCACAGGTTAATCTTGTTCAATTTAGGAAAGTATATGTAATTGTTTTACGGATACAGTTTTGTGATTTGTTTTCATTGGCTTGGATCCTGATTAGGAGCCATTCTTCACACAGGCAGGAGCAATAACCACTGCCCAGTAGATTTAATTGGTGAAAGGCGGGGAAGGCAATGTTGTCAGTTGTGGCCCCTACTTCAACCTTCTTGAACAGACTTTCAGGGGGCAGGGGCCTCCAAGGAGAAGGAAAAAATAAAGTTTTCTCTCCACTTCCTCTGGTGGGGGTGGGACTCCCAGGGCACACACCAGTCAGTGGACATAACTTTAGGCTCCTAGTCATTTCTTTCTTATACAGTATTTTATGTCACTGCATGCCATTATTTTTCCAAGAAGGAAATCAAGGACAAGGTGGTAAAGGTGTTTGATTTTCCTGAAAATAGCAAAAAACTAGAAATGGATGCCATTAACAATGATATCACAAGAAGAAGAATCAAGAGTTGAAACACTCAACAAAAATGGGGTGTTGATTAGATTATTAATTTCCTTTCTTTTTAAAAAAATTTAGTTCTAGGAGATCTGGATGTAAGATTGTATTAGTTTCTGCCAACAGTTAGCATTATAGGGATAGTGTAAGGAAGCATTATACTTCTTAGATTAGCCAAATATAGTGTGGAAGATGACTACTGGCACTTATTTGTCATGTTATGGTAAAATTTTCATTGCATCATAGCAGGATGGTAACAGCGTTTATACACTTGGAGAACATTCTTTCATTGCAAGAGTTAACCATTGTGTTCTGCCAAATTCTGCTGAAGACATTTTTACAACAGATCAAGGACAAACAAACTAGTCGGCCCTGATTCCTTAAACACCTTGGTTACTAAGTGGTTACAAGCACGTTGAGGAAATTTGTCATTTGGTAATTGGCCCTGAGATGAGGCTCAAAGAGTGATGAACAGGTGGAAGAGGTGAATTGTAAATAACTAGAATGAAAGCTATTTCCTATAAGAAGGCCATGGGAAATTACCTTCATTAGCTCCACAGAAATTAAATCTGAACTTCTAATTTACATCAGTTGATCTTTCTGATGATTCATGCACCAAAGGACAGTGTAAAGAGGGAAAGAATTGGAGGTATTCAGCCCAAACAGGATGAGAAGAAAATGAGAGAATCAGAAAGGTAGAGAATGGCCTATTAACAGGATGGATACTCAAAAGAGGTTTGCATCTAAAGCCTATCTTTGCAACAGGATATCAGATGGTCTGACTTTGGATTTTCTGGAAGAAATGGAAGGGAGAGTACTCTGTGGATTGGATCTGCTGGAGCAAACACTCCTTGCCATTTAGACTCCTATGGCTGCAACTTAGTGTTGCAAGTGCAAGGAAGGTAAGAGAAAGACTTTCAGTTGCAGTTTCTGTGGCTAACCTTGACCAGTTTGTGATGCTTTAAAAAAACCCTGTTCAGTTGATACTTTTATATTAACAGATTTTCTAGTGATCCAAAGCACCTAGCCTTATTAAGAATTAAACATGTGAGAATTTGTTTCCCACTAGTTACTGTTTGCCCAAGTGTATTTGGCTAAACTTGTTGTCTGCACATTATTTATTTTCACACTAATTTGGATATGCCAGTTCCCCTGCAGAGTAGCTTGTCATTCATTTCTATGCTACTCAACCTCTCTAGGCAGTTTACTAAAAATTGGAACCTAAAGTACAACATAACAAATCAAATAAAATCTCCAGTGTGCGTTAGATGCATGGGATTGGGCTAATGCATTTTACATTTGTGGGCTGCTCAAGTCAGCTTTGGTATAAGTACAGCATCCTTAGGAGTGCCACATACCTTCTGATCACATGGATGGCATATCATGTGATCCAGATTCTCTTTAAATAGGAAATAACCCACACTCAAGGTACCAACAGGCTCATCTATGCATTTACAATGTGAGAAGATTGGGAAAAACACAGCAAGCCTACCTTTTCCACTGTGATGATCCTCGCTGTTCTTAGTAGTTTATATTTCTCTTCCCTTTGACCTTTGCCTCTCCTCACTCTAGTGCTCAAAATTCAATTCCTCGTTGTGGTAAGAGAAACTGCATTCTCACATATACTGACAGCATATAAGGCTGATAAACACCAGGCAGTTTCCACACAGTCACCAAGTGCATGGAAGTCCCAGACATGTTAGCGTATTTTGGTACAAAATTGCTCCATATATTTGCTTATGTTGTTGTCCTTTACTGTTCATTCTTCATTATTCTTTTTTGAGATGAGGTACCTGGAATACAGTAGGATGCATTCTCCTTTTTAATGATCTCTGACACAGAGTTTGCCTTTTTTTTCCTCTTGTGTTACACACTTTAGCTGTAGTTTTCATTGAGGTATTCAATTTACATCAAGGTTTATGATGATGATAAATGTCATTTCTGTACTGCTATCTGGGTGGTTGGTTTACAAACAATTAAGCTCTTAATATAAATTATAAAACATAACATAAAACCATTAACATTCAAAAACAATTTGTCCCAAATAACAAATTCCAGGGCTGGTTAAAATCTTATCATATGCTGTTAAATGACTGGGACTACATGAAAGTGTCAACCTGCCACTGAAAGGATGACAATGGCAACACCAGGCAGACCTTTCTGGGTTCGCAGCTTAGGAGTGTTCCTCGACCCTGAGCTGTCTTTAGAAGTTCAGGTGTCGGCGGTGGCGAGGAGCGCTTTCCTTCAGCTTTGGCTGATCCATCAGCTGTGTACCTTCCTGGAGAACGACTGCCTGGCGACAGTGACACACGCGTTGGTAACTTCCCGATTAGATTTCTGCAATGCGCTCTACGTGGGGCTACCCTTGAAGACGGTCTGGATACTTCAATTGGTGCAGAACAGAGCTGCCAGGCTGCTGACGGGGACTGGGCATTGTTCTCATATAATCCCAGTTCTCCGTCAGTTTCACTGGCTCCTGATTGAAGTCCGGGCCCAATTCATGGTGTCGGTTATGACCTATAAAGCCCTCAACGGCTTGGGTCCTGGGTATCTAAAGGAACGCTTGCGTCCATATATGCCCTTCCGCCCCTTGAGATCAGCAACGGATGCCCTTCTCTGGGAACCCTCTGTGAATGATATTAGGAGGGTGAGTACCCGGAGGAGGGCCTTCTCTGCGGTGGCGCCCCACCTATGGAATGCGCTCCCCAGAGAGGTCCGCCTGGCGCCATCATTATTTGTTTTTCGGCACCAGGCTAAGACCTTTTTCTTTAAAACTTATTTTAAGTGTTAATTTATTGGCTATTTGTAGCATTTTAAAATTTTTAAGCCGAGATGCACCGGGTTTTAATATTTTTATTGTATAACTTTGTAAGCCGCCCCAAGGATTTGTTGCAATGGGGGCGGCATAAAAATGTTTTAAATAAATAAATAAAATGGGGGGGGGGGACCACCATCAAAAAGGCCTTGTTGCCAACCTCTAAACCTCCCTTGAAGGAGAAAGCTGGAGAAGGGACTCGGATGACCATAGTGTGTAGGTGGGTTCATAAAGGAACAGGCACTCTACAAAGTAATTCTTTTCTATTTAGTCATTCTTGACCAATTTAACCTCCACTAATGACTTTGTGAAGTTGAGATATAATATGCATCATTTTTATGTATAGTGACCCTCATTTGGCTTTTTGCTGCCCATTCACTCAAATTAGAGAAAACCTTTGAGCTTCGGCTTTAACACTTTGCTTTGGCTTTCACCATCCTGTATAAATGTGAAGTCTTCTGCAAACTTGACTGCCTTTTGAATAAAATATCTGTTTCATCCCTCTACTTGATCAGTCTCTGTCCTTAGAGAGAAAAGTGAAAGTAACTCTTGTCTCTTTGACTCTCTTGGAACCCTCAGAACTGCAACTTAGATACGGCAAAATGCAACACTAGAGAAGTAGATGATATGGATGCTGATAAGTCTTGGGTTGGGAGAAATGACTAGTGTGAAGGAAGAAGGAAAGGGGGGCAGCCTGGCTGTGGAAGCTGGTCGGCACAGATAGCTGGCCCGGGAAGGCTGAGAGCTGTTGGATTTGTTTCTGCCTAAACATGTAGAAGATTGTGTCTTTAATCTGTTTTACAAAGTTTGATTTTCTTTTTCTTGTAGTGTCAATGTACATGTGAGAACTTCACTCCTTTGTTGATTATGTGACTATTCTTAAATTCCATAGATTTGCTGCATGGGCTATTATTTTAATTACTTTTGCTTCTACAATTTCCATCATTTAGACTGTTCTCTTTATAAAACCCTTTTTTATGTGCTCATTTGTTCTGCCTTGAGAATTAGAACAGTTCAGCATTATGCACAAACACACACACTTTTGATAATAGGATTGCAGCCCAGTGTCCCAAGATCTCTGCAATCAACTTGAATATTACACTATGAATACAGAGAGACTTACTTCTAACTAAACACGCATACCAAAATATTTTATACCAGGTCAGACAAGTTGTTTTTCTAGACCAGTATTGTCAACTTTTGTTGGCAGCAGTTTTCTGTTAAGCTTGCACAAAGAGAAGAAACATTCATTTGATAATCAGCACAGAAGCTCTGATTTTCATACCACGCTAAACTCCAAAGCCTTAGGCTAGGGGCTAGGCCTCTTAGGACAGAATCTGATGTGTATTTAGACTCGCAGAATCCCTAGCCAGCCTAAGCAATGTTGGGAGTTGTACCCTTACTTAGACAATAGACAGGGTATGGCAAGTCTGATGATGTGTGCGTGCTTGCTTGGACTGAAACACCACGGCTATGTCCTGAAGCATAAAGGACAGAAAGGAGAACAAATGACCCTCCTCAAATGGCAAAAAAATTGCAAAGGAAGAGGAGGAGGAATAGTGAAGATATCTACAATGAAATAACTACTAGATGTTGTTTCTGTGTTGAATATATTAAATCATGTATCCAAATTAGTGCAAATATACCAATCATACAGTAATAACTGGACATTCTCCACAGTTACACAACAAGCTCCACACTGCTCTATTAATTTGTTCAGAATAATGAACATGAGCAGAATCATTAGATACATAGATACATACTGTTAGATACATAGTTGGTTCTTCACAAGTAAATCAGTAGAGAAGTATTAAACTTATTGAATATCAGCTTTTTCCTCAATATGTTGGACTATAATTCCTATCATTCTTAGCCATCACAGGGATGATGAGAGTTGTCTGACACATCTGGAGGGTACCAGGTTAGGAAGGCTATTATATAGGTTGTCACTCTTCCCACTTGCATGCAGACAAATCTACACATATACCATAAATACACTTTTATTTTGAACTCAAGCACTTTAAAATCTTGCTTAACCATTTACTGTGTTGTGCCACTTAGTAATGGCCTGTGCTCCAGGTCTTTGCCATCTTTAAATAGGAAGCTTGTTTGCTTTACTGAAAGCCTCATTACTTGTGATGCTTAAACATAAAAAGGCAGACTATACACTTTCATCATATCTTCTTCCAGGAAAAGGTGGCATCTGTACCCACCTGAAGACTCCAGTTTTCTTTATCCCACCAGAATTCCCTATGAAGAATCCAGTGTGTTCAGCAGAGTCAATGTGGTCAATCCTGATCTAAAAAACTGTCCACTATTCAAGAAAGCACAGGCCCATGTGATTACGCTGGATCCTGGCCAGGTAATTTGTGACCTGCTAATTTACTCTAGCCTGAAACTTTAATTCAATATGGCCCAAGGATAGAAATGAGAGGGTGGAAGCCATGGGTTCTATTTTGTCTGCAACTCTTTCATTTGCCTTTCAACTGAAAACTGTATACTGTGGGAAGACCCTGTAGAAAATGTTCTGAGGCTTCATGGGCGTTCACACACGCAAGCATTCCTGGATCCTGAACTCAACAGCATTCTGGAGACTGTAGTAGAGTCCATCTCTTTTGAAACCAGTGACTTGCCCAATGTGTATTTAACGAGTAAGTCTGCAGAGCCAGCAAAGAACTCTTTACTACACTTTCATCATGATGGATAACATCCATAATGGAAGTACTTGCCCAGCAACTACATCATTTGTATTTACAATATGCATTAGTGTTTCAATGGAAGCTCTCAAAATACTTTTAACAAGGTCATGTGAAAGTTGATTAATCATATTTTACTGGAGAGGAGGCTGCAATAAGTGTGAAGGATTTGTGAAGGATCACTCAATTTGCCAGTCTGTTGGAACTCAAAGGTCTTAGCTCCTCTAGCTTGTGCCATCCAAACTGATTCAAAAGTGAGTTCTCATGAGAAGTAGTAATGGCTTTGTTCTGAGTATAAATCTATAAAATGCACTGGTTTTCTCAGATTCATTATGCAACCTGTACATACTTACCTAGGAGTGAGTCCCTTTGAACTCAGTGGGATTTAATTCTGAATAGACCGCTTTAGATTTTTTTTGTTATGGTGCTCTCATAGCTGTTAACATTGTATTGCATTATGTATCAACATTCTGCACTGCATGGTAAATGATTTACCAATGCCCAAAATTTGATGAATTGGCATTACACTTTTTCCTATAGCAGAGTGCTTTTTAGTCTTCTTTTTTCCACCCTTTTTAAAGGAAGGTTTATATTTGTTTTCATTTTTTAATGACAGTGGGACAGTGCCATGTATTTAGCTTGAGAATTCGATGTAGCAGTCTGTTTCAGTGATTAGGAATGGTAATGAAGCAGTAGTATCACTATTTTTAATTAAGCTTAAACTAATTAGAAGACAAATCTTGCTAAGAATAGAAGGCTACTTGTAGCAGTGCTCTGAAGTACTACTGAATAAAAGAGATGCTGTTATAGATTTTTATCTCTTATGCTGACTGGATAACATGGTACAACTGCTGATTGGTCTGATCTGGAGTTACACAGTTAAAACAACTGTGCCACTTGTCCTGCAAGCACTACAGCTCACTGAGGGTTAAGCAACCTACAATGAGCTGGTTGTGTCATGTGAAGTGGACCCCTGTCAACTCAACCCTATCGTCGGTTATTCGAAAGTTAAACAGGCCTGGTTTAACCCACATTTGCATAATTCTGAATAACCAGGTTCAGACAGCACAGATTGGCTTGATCAAGGGCTGGGAACCAAAATGTCAACTATTCATGGCTAGCACACAGCACAGCTAACTGTGGGCTAAATAACCCATGATATGCCATCTCTGTTTTGCTGACTACCTTGTTGACCCAAAGCTGTTACATGTTTAGAAGAATAGCATCACAAAGATCTGTTAGGATGCTAGCACTTAAGAATGTGGGTGGGAAAATAGTAATCAAATACAAGTTCCTATAAAGCATTCTCTGCTCATGGAAGGGTAATTAGCCTGTCTTAAGTGACTTCTCCATGACATGCAAGTGACCTTACTAAGAGGCCACCTATGTGGGACAGTCGGGGCTCCTGGCAGCCTTGCACTTACTGATGGATGGATTGATTTATATCCTGCCTTTTTCCTACAAAGGGCTCAAGGCAGCTTACATCATTCTCCTCCTCCATCTTATCCCCACAACAACAACCCTGTGAGGTAGGTTGGGCTGAGAGTCTGTGGCTGGCCCAAAGTCACCCAGTTGGCTCCATGGCCGAGCGGGGACTAGAACCCAGGTCATCTGAGTCCCAGTCCCATGCTCTTAACCACTACACCACACTGGCTCTCACTTGGCCACTCTCAGCCCAACTCGCCATCTTAAGGCATGCATCCAAGAGGGAGAGTTTTCTGGGCATAGTATGCTTTTGATGTTGTGGGATATTTAATCATGTGACCAACACTTTTTACCTGCCTTCTGCAGGGTTGCAATCCCTAGAAGGCTGTACTAAGTGGTGCTTGTGAATAAAGGAAAGCTAAGGAATTACCTGCAATGAATGCCAGGCCCCTTTAGGGCAGTTCTGTTTTACACAAGAATAATGCTTGCCAGCAATATCTAGGCCTGTCCAGTTCTGGAAGGGATGAGACAAAGCAATTGGATGAGAATCCCTTAGGTAACAAAGGAAGGCATTTTTAATAGACATTGTTCTTACAGAATACAAAGATTGAGCATGTTTTGCAAATACAATTACCTGAGGATTTGCAGCCAGCTTCACTTTGTGGTAATTTACAGTAATCTCTGTTTTTCGCTTGGCCAGAAGCCACGTCCTTTGGATTAAGATGTTTGCAACAATGCAGAATTGAAAAATAAAATAAAGGTGCACTTTGGTATTCAGTACAGCAGCTGTATGTGAGCTGGATACTGGCTTTGAATATCAAAAGAAAGTTAATGTGCCTAATGCCATCTTCTGGTCAATATATCTCATTTCACCACTTTCTCTAATATTATAGACATCGGGGATCTTTGTTGCAGTATATATTCTAATTACTTTTTAATGCTACTTTCATCTTCAGCTTCCATGGATGGAAGAAGAGCTACATTCAGTACAAATTCATTACTTTTAAGATTTGACTAGTGAGTCAGTTGGTAGGTTAAATTTCAGAGAAATTTAATTTGGGCTAAATCTTGTACCCACAATTAAACATTTGAAATGTCATGCTGGTCTTAAAACATCTGTGCATTTCTCAGTGATAGCCAAGTTACTGTAGGATTAATTGTGCCTTGCTCTTGCACCTGCAAATGGTAATTTGAGCCTGTAGTTTTGCAAGCATAATTGCATGTTCAAAATGACAGGAGCAAATTGAAACGTTCATTTGTGAGTGTCTTTTAAGAAAAGGAAAGGAAAGCAAATTAGTTGAGCTACCTACCTGCCTATCTTTAAAAGAATACTATGCAAAAAATTATGTACATGAAGGCAACAAGTAACGCGGGTTGCTGCCAGTGCACAGTCAAAGCCTCCGCATTTTCATGCATTCATCTCCCTCTCTCTTCCTTTTTGTGGAACACAACTCCTACAAAGTGGAGACCAATGCAATTCATCATATATAAAAACGTGTTCAAATGGCTCTAGTGTGGAGTGCAATCTTTATCTCTGTCACACTGAAACTTTACATTCAAGTATCCATAAGATAACTTTTGGTCATCAGAAAAATCAGTGCTACCATCTGAATAAACTTAGAAATGTTCTGGATTCTTTTAATGTCTTGTGAATGCAATTGTTCTGCAGTAAACATGGTGGGACTGACTGGGTTCCTGTAACATGATGATCCCCCCAAACTTAAAAGCCACCCGTGGGTGGGAACGTGTTGTGTTATGCAAACCCACCATATGTTATTTAGAGTGGCTGTTAAGGAATGCTCAGCTCCTTGAGGCCATGCAACTTCCAGGCCTTGTGGCTGGCAGCACCATGGGGTGAAGATTGAAGGGGAGAGATCTCTCGCTCTTGCCGATGAGGTCTTATTGCAAGTCAGGGTAAGGGATGTCAGCAATCTCTGCTCCTTCTCCCCTGACACTGACTAATTATTCCTGAGATTTTCCAAGTTGACTAGGAACAACGGGATGGCTAATATTTTCCTATAACCACAGTGGATTAGTGATGGAGAGGCTAATTTGGTCTGATTTTTTAACTTGCAAACCTACATTATGATAGAAAGATGTTTGATGCAATCATTATTTTCCTCCCCTTTTGATGGAGTCTGTTGTGTCACAGCTTCTGACACAACAATAAAGAGCAGGGAGGTCTCTGTTCCTGAGATACATGAAAAACTAAGAAAGGGCCATCCATAATGCATTTTAAGAGATACTTTTAAAGTGTTTTAAAAGGCAGGGCAGTATCTAACAGGGGGCTTATGCCCTCAGCGGTTCTTTTGCACGATGCCCATTCTCCTGTACCAGCAGCCCCCGTCAGTTGCAGAATGGCAATGTAGTGCTTCTGGGAGCACCCCAAAATGTACAGAAATGCCTGTCTGTAAGGGGCCTGGTGGGCGAGACTTGTATAAGGATTGTGGGTGGAACAGAAGAGGAAGGATGGATGTACCCATAGTCTTCCCCAATAACACATGAGTGCATGCATGAATTGCATGGTCAGTAACTGTAGCAATCCTCTTTCTTTACTGTAGAGCAGAAGTGGGCAAGTTGTGGGTCTGCAGATGTTTTGGACAGGCAGCTTGACATGGTGAAGAATCATCGGACCTCTAGGCCAAAACATCTGGAGGTCCACACATTGTCTGCATACTCCCACCGTAGCCCATGGCACCATTTCAGATCGGCATCAGCATACTTTGTTCTTCCTCATGAGTATGAACAGATGCTGGCAAGCACTGGATACTTCAGGCAGCCCTTCTAGAAGTGAACCAGCCTAGGCAACCAGGCCATAGGCTCTTTGCAAATTGATGGAGAGTATGGTGAAAGTGAAGCCTTCAACACTGCAATCCTAAGCATGCCTTTGTGAGTAAGCAGAGTCAGACTTTACTTCTGAGTAAATACGCATAGGTGGGTTGCACTTCAAGACCCGCCAGTCAAACAGCTGATTAGCTCAAGTTCAGTGAAACCCACAGAACTTGATAACCCTTTGAATGCTGTTCTCGGGTATCTTTAACATGGGTGAAGTCTTATAAGCAATGTGCATCTTATAAGAATATAATTGGTCTATAATGTTTTCTACACATTTTCCTTTCTTATATGCTGAATGACATCTCTACACAATCAGTTTCCACAGCCTGTTTTTTACCTCTTAACATATACAGAGTTCCATATGATAAACAAGTTTTGCTATAGTAAAAATATTATTCAGAATATTCTGATAAAAGTGAATGGTTTATGCCTGGTTATCAACCTGCTGGAGTTACATAGAGATCCTTACGGGGTTTTATAGTTTCATTTTAAATATGGTAAGTGAAGTTTAGATAATGAGCTAAAAATAAGGAATCAAAGCAATATTAATGAATGCATAATTCAAAGCATAGATTTAGAAGATGAATGTGTGCATTATTAATTGCCTGCTAGAAAATAAATACAAATCTAGGGCATAATTGAATCAAAATTAAGCACTTTTAAATCCCTCTGATTCACAATGAAATCAACAGAATTCTAGTCCTCTCTAATTAGAATCAGTTGGCTTTAGATGAGTTTCATTTGGGATGGGATGGATTATGCCCTTTATGCTTTATTCCTCCACACTGAATTTAGAGTTGTATCAATGGAAGAGAAAACAGTACACCTGAACTTTAGGAGTATTTTTCAGTGAAGTTACTTTAGCTGTAACTGGCAAGAACTGATTTGTTTCCTGAAAAATCTCTGTGGATTTTCTGGTCTGGTATAACATCTTCCATGGGAATAATTTGAGAAGTATTTCTATTGAAGAAAATATTGTATTGGAATCCAGCCTTTCCATGTGGGTGGGCAATGCCTTTTATATCAGAAAAAGGATCAAAAACACTAACTGATCAGGACAACCCAGAATTTTTGTGGGGACAGTTTTGCGAAATGTTTCCGCTGTCATTCTGTACCAGATGCATGATTTAAAACAAAAAGGCACATGGTCTAACCTTTGCTTTTATGAGCAAGAGTTCAGACATAATAACCCTGTTTGAGATAAGAGGATTTTGGATGAAAGGTTATCAATGGTTTTTCACTCTCTGTAGTAAATAATTGGTAGAACAAGACTGGAGGATTTCTTAGTCTCAAGATAATTCTGCTGAGAAAAACTGAGAGGAAGTCAAGCATCCTGAATGCTATTCTGGACTTTGTATATGTCCTTGGGAAGATCTTCTGTAAGAATGGATTTTTTCAAAGGCTAAAACACTACCACAGGACCTGTGCTCCATTCGCCACCTTTCCTTTTAATTGCATCATAGAACAGTAGAGTTAGAATGGGCCAGAACTCCATCAGGTCCAACCCTTGCTCAGTGCAGGACTCCAGGTTAAACCATCCCTCTCAGATGGCTGTCCAGTTGCATCTTGAATGCCTCTAATGTGGGAGAGCCCACAACCTCCCTAGGGAATTAGGTCCAATGTCATCCTGCTGTAACAGTCGGGAAGTTCCTTTTGATGTCCAGCCAGAACCTGGCTTCCTGTAACCTGAGCCCATTTTTCCATGTCCTGCACTCTGGGATAAAGATCCCCTCCTTCTTTGTGACAGTCTTTCAGGTACTGATAGAGCTCGGACCCATTCCAGCTCTACCAAGTTTCAATTTTTATTAACTTAATAATACAGTGCAGTACAGTACAATACTAAAATATATCAACAACAACAAAAAAGGGGAGGAAACATACAATGCAAATAAATTGAATAATAAAAATCAATAATTAATTTATTTAATACTGAATACAAAAGGTGCACCTCTACACTGAGACCTTTGGCTACATAATAATAATTTATCCATGTCCATATCTATATATACTGCTCTTCTCCTTTTCTTCTAAGCTTTCCCTCTCTCAGAACAACCCTTTCCCCCATCCAGAATTGCATCAAATTACACAAAGCTTCAACACCCTTCCTTTTTATTCATACATATGCAGTAAACAGCATTCAGAATTTTATAAACTTGTGTTGTGATTCCTCTTTCCCTTCCTTTCAGTAGACTTAAAAGTGAAACCTTAGAAGCGCATTTCTTTTATTGACAATTTACTTGTTAGAACACATTAGCAATCAGAGTAGCAATCTCCTCAAGATGTGGAGGAGGCATCTATCCATGTAAAGAGCTGAAAGCAAAGGAAAACTTCTCCTCCTTTCCTCCCTTTCAGCAAAACCTCTGGCTCTTGCCTCAGGGTCCTCCCACTGCCTGTGGGCTAGATGGTGGGAGCGCCAGGCACTTAATTGGCTGCTTCCTTCACTGGCTGTCTCCTGACAGGTCAAGGAATTCTGTTTCTGTCACCTCCCCCTGCGGCTCTGAAATGTCTTTCCAGGCAGGCTGGTTCTTACACTCTGCCTGAGCAACTTCATCAGGTGGCTGTGAAACTTCCAAGTCCTCACCCACTCTCCATCTTCTATGGCTTCCTCAGAACCAGACAATCTTTCTGAGCAGCCTGAAATGTGAGTGAGATGGGCTCCCTCTCTACTCTTGGAGCGTAACACTTCACTTACCATTTATTTAAATGAAAAAACCTTCAAATCCTTGTAATTTGAGTGACTTTTCTTGCAGCTGTTCCAGTTCTCTAACATTCTTTATGAGATGGTGCAACCAGAGCTGTGCGTATTTTTCAAGTGTGGCCATGCCTAATACTGGATGTTTTATTTTCAGACCCTCTTCTAATGATCTGTCACATGAAATTTTCCCCTTTTATTGCTCCTGCTTGCTAAACTGACATTTAGCTGAGCACCACAAGCCCAGCATTTATTTCCTGGGTACTGGCACTTACTAGGGGATGTTCATTACTTCACATCACGAAATGCCACCAGTTTGCCTTCCTGGAGGTTGCACTGTCAATGGCCACTAATCATGATAGCTGGCTGCTACCTCCAGGATGACATTCTACCTCTGAATACCATTTGCTGAGGAAGAACAGTGAGAGAGAGCACACTTGGCCAGATGTCCTGCTTGCGGACTTCCATGTGCCTCCGGTTGGCTACTGTGGGAATCAGGGTATCAGACTAGACAGACCTTTTGTCTGGCTCAGCTGGGCCCTTCTTGCTATCTTCTCTTCAGTCTCATGGCCCCTTTATCCAATTTGCAGGATCCTTCTGGAATGTTTCATAGTTCCCATGGGTTTTCACCATCCTAGATCATTTGGTGTTACTGGCAAACTGGGTTACCTCTCTTTCTGTTCTGTTCCTGCCTCCAGGTAATAATGAGGCAGTTTATTTCCCAACTCCCACAGGTCACTTAAAAAAAAATGGTGCTACTGCAAGATAGAACCTTCCAGTGAGTAACCTGACTTCAGTGACATTTTGCATATACATAGAAAATTAGCAATTATTATACAATTAAGTTTGTTAAGAACTCTCCATATTCATCATACAGTCCCCCAGTTCTTAATTTGTAATTTCTCAGTTAGCTCTAGAACTGTCTCTTGTTGCCTCTATTTGGTTTAACTAATTATTTGATTTAATGACTGCTGCTTTTAATTATCATTGAATAAATTTGTGGATTAATTTTTTATATTGCATTTATTTTTCTTTTAGTATTCATGAGAATGAGAGTAGATGCTCTAAATAATATATAAATAATAATAATGATTCCCCAAATGCAGAAATTGCTACTGAAAAACGTACTTTTCAACATGATTTTTTTAAAGTGTAAGGGAATGTTACAATTGTACACAAAGGTTTTCTCGGGAAAGATTTCTGTGACTTTTAAATGTCTATGTCTTTTATCATCAGGTCTTATTTGTTCCCAGGCACTGGTGGCATTATGTAGAATCCATTGACCCCATAACTGTTAGCATAAATTCATGGATTGAATTGGTAAGTCCGCTTTCCTGCCTTTTCTGAAATGTCTGCTGTCCAGTGTTGAGAATGTCCTTCGTAGAATCACATGCCTTTAATGCCCTGAAATATTTCATTCCCCTTCCTTTGTTGCCTCTTTTGCATTGGATTACAGATCCAGTGTCATGCCAACAGACATCCATTTGCACAATGGAACTTTCTTTTGTTCTCCTCTGCACCTCATCCCCCCCCCACTCCCAAACATCTGGGGCAAATGTGAGGGTGTGGGAGAGGTTCCAGTGGGGAGGGGAAATCCACTCTAGCAGCATTATTATTCTGCTGGCCGCAAGTGAATAAATTAGTTAATTAATTGGTTAATTTTTACAGTGAGACAACCCAATTACTAGAGTTTGCCAAGCAGTTTACAGATAAATTAAAACGTTTGAGCAGGATCTAACATGACACTAGTTCAAATGTAAATTACATTGTGCTGGCATGAGTGATTTCTAGCACAACACCAATCGCTTCAGCTATTTTTCAGAGAGAGTTCTTGCTCCAGCTCATCTATTGCTGTTGTGCTAGAGGTCACTTCTATGACTGCATCATAAATAATTTTAGCACTAGTGTCAATCTGGATGCTGCTCATATAGTTCAAAACAAAATATATATTGGAAAAATAATACACCATAAAGACAGCAACAAAAACACAGAAAAGCAAAATTGAAAAACAGCAGCTGAAATTGTCAGCACTAAAATATAGTTCGTAAAATACCTGGGAAAATACCTAAAATACCTGGGAGAATTCACCTGACACCAGGAAGACCATAATGCAGACACCAGGCAAGCCCCTGTGAGGAGGGAATTCAACAGATGAGGTGCCACCACAGAAGAGGCCCTTTTCTTGGTAGCTACTGGTCCTGCCTCATTGGCAGAGACACCTGGGTAAGGGTCTTGGACCATGACCTTAGAGTCTAGGTAGGCAGACATAAGAGAAAATGATCTTCCAGGAAACCTTGCTGCAAGCTGTTTGAGGCTTTACCAGTTAAAACCAGCCCTTTGAATTGGAACTGAAAATGGACTTGCAGCTATTGCACATGGCAAAGTGCTAGCTTAACAGGATGGTATCTGCCAATTCCCATTAAATCTACCTGCCACATTTTAGACTAACTGAGGTTTCTGGACCATCTCATGTATAACCTTCTACAGTGCCACACACATACATGGTGCTAGATAAATCATTTGCACAGGGTTGTAAGGCATGGGAGGGTCTGTGATCATAGAATAGACTCCCTTCTTCAGACCTTCCACCCTAACACATAGAGTCCAGGGAAACAGTTGTTACCACACCATGTTCTTTCTCCTTAAAGCTTCTCTGAAAGTTTCCTAGTAATGTTAGATAACAGGAAGAAAATGGATGTGTTTGAAACATGGTGCTGGAGGAGAGCTTTGCAAATACCCTGGATCGACATCTAGACTAGTGGGTCCTAGATCAAATTAAGCCAGAGCTTTCCCTGGAAGCAAAAATGACAAAACTGAGGCTGTCATACTTTAGACACTTCATGGGAAGGCAAAATTCCCTGGAGAAGACAGTCGTGCTAGGGGAAGCTGAAGGCAGAAGAAGAGCAGCTATGAGAAGACTTGATTCCGTAAAGGAAGCCACAGCCTTGAGTATACCAAGAGCTGAGCAGGGCTCTCAAGGAAAGGACATTTTTGAGCACATTCATTTATAGGGTTACCCTCCTTCAGAGACAACTTGACAACACATAACAACATCAAAACCATACTCTTAATACTCTAGGCTCAACTACCATGCCTTTCCATTTTCCACTGCAGTTCATTTAGACCAACATCACATGAAGCTACAAAAATGCACTTCCTTGATCAGTGAATAATCTTTGTCGGGGGCAGGGATGACACTATCAGTGTGTCAGATAAAATAGGTGTGCTTTTTCATTTTGTGAGAGCAGTGCTGTATGATCTCCTGGTTATAGGTTGTAAGCAGCTGAGTCCAATATGCTAAAACCTCAAGATTTACCATACAAGCTTCATTACTTATCTTTTTTAAGCATAGCATATAATCTTAGAGACAGATGTTAACACATATGTAAACATTTGAATTCTACATGCCCCAGTCTTGCTGGAGTGTGAGATGGTGGATAGAGCTACTAAGCTGTCTTCCAGGATTAAACACCTCACAAACAATATGGAGGATCTGAGCTATTAAGCTGAACATGGGCACTGTTTAACTGTGGAAAACCTACATGTAATCTTTGTGGTGACAGCTGATTATACCCTATTATCCCTGGAGATGACAGCAACATTACTTTTTAGATGTAGGGCTATCCATCTTGGAAAAATAATGTGTGACTAGGGTGTTAAAATATAATATCAAGAACTTTTCCATTATTCACTCAAGCAGTTTTCTGGCTTCCAGCAGTAACCAGCTGCTATCAGGTTGATATGCTAGGTGTGTGTTGTGCCAGCTTCAGTAGCCCTACTGATGCAATTAATTATTTTGTTCAGGCCTGATAATAAGGGGAGAACATTTTTAATTTGTTTTCAACACACTAAGACCACTCCAGAATCTTGCATCCAAGGTAGGGTGATTAATGTTATTCATGGATTCCATTAGGGAGAATGAACTTTCTAGCACTGAAACACCTTGAAATGCTTAACAGTGTTCATATACCAACGGTAAGCTGGCCCAAATGTGCACACTCTAAAATGCTAATAGCTGAGCTAAAATGTTTCAGTCTTAGGAAGCTCCACTGTGATAATGTCAAAAGGAGATGGAAGGAGATTCAAAGCCTGAAGAGAAATTATGCCTTGAAGTTCCTGGGCCACTTGCCAGTCATTGGTATTGCTCAGCTACCCTGAGTTTATCAGAGACTACATCCAGATATTTTTTGCAAATGCACTGAACTTGCTATCAGTCTGTATGATGGGCTTCTTAGTCTTAAGGTTATACAGATGGGGTCAGATGCCAGTAAAGAGCTTCAGATATTAGGTACCCTAGAAATAAAATAATAAATACTTATTCATGGCTAACTTAGCCTCATTGACGCCAATGGGACTAAGTATGACTAAATCTGGATCGAATCCATAATTGCAGGCAGCCCCGAGACTCCATGGCTGAAATGTTGTAACTGTGAGCAAAATAAAACATTCCTAAGGCTTCCTCAGTTACTTAAGCACCGGGGGCGATGAAAGCATCGCCACATTTCCACATTATGAACATTCAGTGCTAAATTTTGGGTTCCATTTCAAATGATATTTAGTGGAGAACCTGATGAGAATCTTTACCATGCTTCTTTTTCCTAAGAGCAATCAAAATTTTAATCCAGATTGTTAGGGTTTCTTAATACACCAAACTCCGCAGCTTTTTATTAAAGTCGTACAAAAGGCATGGTAGCTTATTGCTCATACCTATGAGCTCAGCCATGTTGCCGTAAAATAAGGAAGTTTGAGACTTGATTGCAGCGCCCATAACGGAGGTGACACATGTGGTAGAGAGAAACATGTGGTAGAGGCCCAGAGCCAGCACTGGCAATGCTGCCACGGTCTAAATGAGATTCGTATTCTGCATACCAGGAAGCCAAATTCTGCAAATCTGTCCTGAGCAGAATAGATGATGCAACCACCATGTGATAATTATGAACAAAAGCAGCCGAGTGTGATTTCTTTGGGCTAAATATGGTATGGTATCACCACAGAGACTGACAGCTCCTTCAAGGCAGAGCAGCCTTTCCACTAGCAATCAGTAGCCATGGGGAAAGGCCGAGAAGCAAATGGGAGGGAAAGGGATTTTTTGTTTTGGGGAGCCTTCCCAAGCCTGATACCCTCCAGATGCTTTGGCTGGCAGTTCCCATCAGCCCAAGCCAATATACCCAGTGGTCAGGGATGCTAGGAACTGTAGTCCAACATCTTCTGGAGGGCACCAGGTTACAAGAGACCAGCATAGACTTTTCATGGGAGACTCACGAGACACTTCATACCAATACGTGAGGATGCCTCTTTCCATGCTGCCTCCTGAGGTTTGCTTTTACAAATGCAAGCAAGCAAGCCCTACTTGCTCAGTCTGCTTCCAGCACCATGGTGCCAGAGTATGACATTGCACAATGAATTTGTTCCCTCTTGTCCCTAGAAGAGTCCCCAGATCCAAAGCAATTCAGTGAAACAAGAAGGTTCTGCCTTTCCTGGGCATCTCGTTCTGATGAAATCCTAAATTAGTCTTTGCATTTCACTGCCTAAAGGCACCCAAGAAAGACACGACAGCTTGTAACATGTAAGAATCAATTACTGGATTCTTGTTTCATCTTTAAAAGCTGTGTGCTGGTATCCTTTGTTAAAGACAACACTTGCTTTTTTCCCTCCGTTGCAGTTTAGAACTGCAATAATATATCAGTGAGCTGGTGGTCCTGTCAGATGACAGCTTGCTCCCCAGAATTTAAAATAATTTAGCCTTGCATTTGTAATAGGTCTCAAGGCATTTGCTGTCTTGAAGTGATATCCTTTGTGTTTTAAGAGCTTAAATCATTTAGAGATACAGTTTGGGACATGCCTTTTTGATCTTCCTAAATTAAAGATCCTATATGTTAGATAGTATCCCTCTGGTATAAATTAAGGTTCACAGGCCTCAATTAACAAGACACTAATACAGTGTATTGTCTGCCAATTAGAAAAATGTAATTGCTTGATCATGTGGCTTTTATGAGCATATTATGCAATAAAAGTAGGGCTCTAATAATGAGAGATGTTAAACCCCACCATGAGCACACACATGCCTGTTTTGGTAATTACAGATTACTGTAACATGAAACTCCTTTTCCTGAATCTTTGATATTTGCATAATACAGAAAATCATTCTAAAGCCTCTATACGAACTAGTTTCCTCATAGCTTCATGTCAATGTGCAGGCTTCCAGAAGCTTGCATTCCAAATAGGACATTGTTCTTGTTTGCTTAGTCAGTGCCACTAATAGAGGATCACTCACGTTAAGCATGTTGGGTTCAGTCAAAGGGAACTTCAGTGCATATTTAAGGTTCTTTCTCTCGTATTTTATAGGAAGCAGATCATGAAGCCCGTGTAGAAGAGGCAATCACCCGAACACTGATATGTGCAATCAAATCCACAGAAAACCCTGATGCTTCAGACTCCTGGCTCAACCCAACAGAGGTTAGGCTCCATTTTTGTCTGCCAGCCGCAATTTCCCTACATTTTTGCCCTGGTGACATTTTTGTAAACACTTTTGTCTCCATTCTTCCAACTACACCTACCTTTACAAGAAAATTCTTAGCATTTGTAGAATGACAGAACATGAATCTTCATGGTTGCTTCTCATGATCTTTGGAAGCAAGACCCATTTGTTCCAAGGATTCCCCGTGCCTAGTCATGAATCCCCTTGTTCAGCTCATGCATTGAGTGTGGTTCTCAACATTTTCCTTTGTCTGTATTGTGGATGGGCAGAGGATCCTGGGCAGTAACAGCATCCTCAGCAGATTGTGTCACTGAGCTTCACTGTGATGGATATAGTACCCTTATGAGAAGAAAGTACTTTGCTAGGGAGAGATTAGAATTACTTGCCATTTACTTCTTACAGACAAGGCATCCAGAACTCCAAGCAAATTCTGGTTTATCTAGCTTCCTGTTGAGTTTTGTTAGAGTGGAAAGCTGCAGGCATGTATTTCCTCAGCTGTGCTAGCTTGCTACCTCAATTGAAATGAATGAAAAAACCTTCAGGAAAAGTTCCATGGGTGCTCCTACATTTGCAGTTAATTGCTGCATGAGCAAATTTATTTTTAGACTCAAATGATAATATGGGGGTTTTAAAAAAAGATATATGGTTGCTAGCAACATACTTTGTGAGCTTTGAATGCCCAAAGAAGCTCAGAGGTACAGCGCTCAGTGATTTTCTTACCAGGAGTGGTGGTTAGGTCTAGAGGTTCTTCTGCATGCAGAATTCCTCTTCCACAGAATGACTTTTTATACTTTGTACTGGAATGGTATGTATGTATGTATGTATTAGATTTATACCTGTATTCATTTTTTCCTTGCAAAGAACTCAAAGCAGCTTACATAATTTTCTTCCTCCTGCTCTCAGTCTTATCCCCACAACAACAATCCTGTGAAATAGGCTGGGCTGAGAGTCTGTGACTGACCCAAAATCACCCAGTTGGCTCCATGGTTGAGTGGGGGCTATGACCCAGATCACCTTAGTCCTAGGCCCGTGCTCTTAACCACGATACCACACTGGCTTCCAGGAAAATTGCATAAGAAAAGTCAAACTAAACCAAAAAGTTCCTGTTCTCTTTCTGCAAGAGGTGGCACAACCGTTTGTACAAACAGATGAGTAAAACATGCTATTGTACCTGTCAATCACAGTATATAGCATTGCTTAACAAGCCCAGTGAGAAGATCTGGATCAGACATTTAGGTCCTGTCCTCGTCCAGCCCTCTGCCAGCCAGGGTCCCCCGGTGTGCCATATGGTCTCCCACTGTAACTTGCCATCTTGCCTTTCCATGGCAGGTCAGTAAAAGGGGAATCTTCTTAAGCCACAAAGTCTGTGTAAGGTTTATTAGCAGCGCAATTCTCTACAAGTCGTCTCAGGAAAGTAAGTCCCATTGAGTAAAATGGATCTTAAACTTTTGGGTAAGAGCTATTTTTTCTTATTACATTTACAGATTCCACTCGGGGACTTGCTTATCTGAGCAAACATGAAGAGGATATATCTTTGTATGGCCTGTCTCTTGAGTTCAGTTTAGCCAATTAACTAATCCATGTCAAGAGTGCTTTCTGCCTCTTCCCATTACAACAAACAACCCAGACTTCCCAAACAAGCAGTTTGGACTTTTGTTGGCTGCTCAACTTTGTCATCCCTTCCCTGGGAATCTCTGCATCTCTCTCTCTCTCTCTCTCTCTCTCTCTCTCTCTCTCTCTCTCTCTCTGTGAGTGTGAGTGAGAGAGAGAGAGAGAGAGAGAGAGAGAGAGAGAGAGAGAGAGAGAGAGGGCACGCAGGGTTTGAAATGGTGGCAAAAAACTCACCCTTCACAGGCTCTCTGCTGTCTACACCATGGCTGATTATGACAGAGGTGTTCCTCCATACCAGTGCATAGGTTTGAAAACAAGAGAGAGAAGCCAAAGGTCATAAAGAATAAGGCAGCAAAATAAAGTGAAAGTAAAGACAATAGATGACCAGAAGGAAATATAAAAGCAAATGCAAAGAATCTCAGAGATGTCTGTCTGAGTTCTGACTGTATTTATTTCTGTTTTTCAGGTTGAAGTAACATCTCATGAAACCAACCTCCACTACTTAAATGTTGCTGTGTCTGCCTATTTAGAGCATCACAAAGATGGTAAAATAGATCACAGAACCCCTGAAACCCATGGTTCTGCAGGGATTCTTCAACACTCTTGTAAAAGAAGGAAATTCCAAGTAAACACAGAACTAGAGGGCCTGAAATCTGAACCCTGTGAATTCAGTAGAACAGATTGCAAAAAGAAAAACTTGGAAAACATTCCGTTTGGTCAGAGTCTCATTCAGGTGTTGCCACAGCTCCAGGGAACAAGCCCCATGGGAGCAGCTGAACATGACTCTAAAGCCCTTGTCAGTGAAAATGACAGACACTTCGGAAAATCGCACTGTGCAGGGGAGATATCTGTAATGCACAGTGATTATGGACCATTTGTAGTTAAAGATGATCTCGGCCATTGTGCCAGTGCCTCTCAAACAGACATTTGTACAAATGATTTGCTAGATTGCGTGCTAAATCCACAAGTCATCAATTTAATGGCACGTCTTTTGTTGGACAAAGCCAGTATTTAAAAATCTGTTTTCTTTCCTTTTAAAAATATAAATGCCTGCTGGCAAACATGTTCTGAAGGTCCCTCAGCTTCTCTGCTAAAGAATCATAGTCCTGCTGCAGCATTTCCAGAAGGTTCAACGCTGAGCTTCCAAACAGTACAGCAGGTAAGAGGGTCAGTGCTTTTGAGGACAAAGGAAGTTACAGAGCAGTGACAATACTCAGTATTTTCCCTAAGAACTCAGAGGGTGTCACATATATCCCATACTTCCTCCAACAAATCTCAAAGGATACTCAGTATTTCCTCATTCCAGATGGGGGTGCTGAACCAGAGAGAGTCCTGTCCAGGACCGCAGACCCATCGAGTGTTATGCCAAGTCGTGCTACACTGACACTATTTCATTGCCTGCTCCAACATGATGTCCTCCAGATGGTTTAAGCTGTGGTTCCAGTCACTCCTGACCATTGGCCATGGTGGCTGGAACTGATGGGAGTTGTAGCTCAAAACACCATGGAGGTGGGAAAGGCTGCTATAAAATATATTGAATGGGGACATCTCCATTTGCATGTCAAATAAATGAGCTCAGGAAAAATTGGGATATTTTTTTCCTGACTGTTTTTCAGGAATCAGATATTCTTCCTTGGCACATCCAATCCTTCCCCTCTTTCTCAGATGTCTTTCGCTGCACTTTACTTTAAGTGGAGTCTAGTTCAAGAAGACTTGTGCCATAATAAATATGTTGATTTTTAAGGTGCCTCAAGACTCTTCATTGTTCATGCCCTCCAGTGTCCCCCCCCACACACACACACACCATCCTGCCCAGCAAGAGGGGACTTCAAATAGACCAGCATAATTTGCAGTGCAAGACAAGTAAAGGGAGCATTGTTAGTTCCAGGCTCTGGATTAATGTGTTATCCTTTTTTAAAAAAAAAATTTCCCAAACTTCCAGTTTGTTGCTAAAATCTTCTAAGCATACTTGTGCTTTTTGTTTAAACTTTTACAGGCATGTATTCCTGTATAATTTCTAATTGTACAACAATTCTGATGCATTGTTCTTGGGTGTTCTCCACCTACAAAGTTATATTTGCTGCCCTGAGGAGCCTGGCACTAACAATTGGAAGGCATTATACAGCTGCTTTCTTGTTTCTTCCTTTAAAAATGTTGTACAGTAAAAAAGAAAGAAAAAGAAAGATGGAAGAAGTGGTAATAAAGCACAAGAGGATCATCTTCCCCTCACTAAAGTTATGCGAATAGGGCAGAGTTATTGCACATTAAAAGTCTCATCTGGAAACACCCAGAACTGTGCCATGCTAATTAGCTCTCAAGCATCTACATTTTTCCCTCTCGGGTTCCTCTCACTAGGACAGCTGCACATAAACACTGGTAGGTGTCTTTGTATGAATATGTGTATTTATAAGTGTGTATGTCTTATTTGCCTATTAAATGTGCCTCCTGCCTTTGTACTGAATTGTGCTAAATGTGAGCAGCAATGCTAAAAATACAGTAAGGTGTGAGCACATAAATTCCTGCTCAGTGGTGCTACATCCTTCAGTAATTAATGCCCACATGCATTCTTAAATAGGGCAGTTTTCTTCGGTACCTAATTGTTCTGGCCAACCTATCCACCATATTAGAACAGGTTCAGTTGTGTGATCTATGAAGGTAGGGCTTGATGCTGTTGCTGCTTATGGAAGAGCGATTCTCTGTTGTCTTTCCAAGAAGAACATATGGGGTCCTAACTATATGACTGCCTTCCCCTACTTCAGGCTGCAGTCCTAAACACTTACCTGGAATTAACTCCCATCAAACTTAATAGAACTATGTGGTGGCTAATGCCTGAGTAGATAAGGGCAAGTTTATGCTGTAAGGCGTCAGTCCTACGCGGCTCCCTGAAAGTAAGCTGCGCTGAACATACTGGGACTTCTCCATTGGGCTGCGCTGTAAATCTACTCAGAGGGGGCACATTTTGCATTCTATGCTTGTGCTCCAGCTCCTCTCTGTAGGCTTAGCAAGAGAATATTTCAAATTCACCTATTAAAATAGACTCTCCTTCTCCCAGGGAAAAGGGTATTGTGCATCATTTGTTCCCTTGCAGTTACATTCTAGTAATTCACATTTACTTTGTACTAAAACTTACTTATCCCTAGATTGTTTTTCGCTCCTGCTGCATTTTTCTGTGGCACTCAACTAATTTGCATAGGTTTTGATTTAGCCACAAGTAATTGCCCTAAGGTCACTGGCATGTGTTATGCTTTTTTCTATGAACCAATTCTGAACTCCCCCCGTACAAGAGATGGCTTTGGCAGGCATGTTGTAAAAGCAGCAATAACCCTTGCAGAGCCCTAATTGCTTTGCATAAAGGACATGAATGCTAAGTTGGAGTACTTCTAGCTTTCTAATAAGCCACTGTGTTCCATTTCCTATCGTTCAGCTTTGAATCATTCTGGACAAGGTTGTGACAGTCTCCTTAGTTACAGCATTCTCCTGCTATGTTTTTCTTTCTTTTAATCTACCTCAACTTGCTCGCTCGCTTTATGTATGTATGTATGTATTTATTTATTTATTTATTTCAGAAAATTTCTATTCCACCTTTCTTTTAAAAAAGGTGCCAAAGCACAATGATCAAATATTTTATGCAAAGTAATCTTGAATAAGGTGGAGGCTGTGATTCTTGTACTATCCAAGCTAACAGAGTCCAAAGAATAAGATCCTCTGCAGCAGGTTCCTATGTATCTGGCAGGGAGCAGACTATTTGAAGCCGACCTACCACCCTTTCATGGCTGGATGCTGATAAAAATGGATTTGCTATTTTTTTTGCCACTAAACTCTCCTAATGTGGCTTTCTCAGGAAATTTTGGCTTGGGTGAAAATTTTGATGTGAACCAAAGGTCGGGACCAATGGAGTACATGCCCCGACATTTGTACTAGAAAGAGGGACATAACAGGGCTGTCCAGTCTGTCCACTGATCCTTAACATCTTCCTAGAGCTGCTGTCCTACATCATCTGGTGGAACAGGAAAAATACAGGGGTTTGTGCATCGCACTACAGACTATATGTAGATTTTATGCCATTGGTTATTGTTTTTTCCTGGAGTTAATCAAGATAATAGATGTTTTTGGGGTACTATCAGGATACACAATCAATTGAACCTAATCAGAACTCATACTTCTCAGGACAAAACATTCCCTCTGTCCTGTTTTCTGGTAGCAGCTTAAGCAATTTCCAGAAGCCTTCATTTATCTGCGAATTAAGGTCCCCAAGATGTTTCACAGATGGTCAGACTAAATCTGTTACCCCCCACTCCTCAGGAGAGATTGCATTATATTAAGAAAGGTGGACCTCCCTCATTCTCAATGTGTAGGGAAAAATCAATACTTTAAAAATGAATGCTTTGCTTCAAGAGTATATATCCTCCAAGGCATTCTGTTGTTTGTTCCCAGATCAAAGATTTAATGCATTTTTTAGGAAATTTATTTGGGGAACTCCGCTGCCCCACTTCTCCTCCAAAAAGTTACACCTGTCCCTGGAAGAAGGAGCTTTTAACTTCCTTGATTTAAATCTTTACCACAAAGCATATTTCTTGTGTGTGTCGAGGAACGGACTGCCACCCGCTCCTCACAGCAGCTTTCCTGGCTAAAATCTTCAGGCCTGACACCCGCTGGCTGAAGAATGGCTCTGGGCTCCACACTTCTACACAGAGAAGAGCCTCCCCTACATAAGGCCAAAAGGCTCCATGGAGGCTGCCTTGCCAGCTGTACAGCGCTCCCTTCTCAAGGGCCAAACTAGCCCTGCAGTGCAAGCCCAGCTGAGATGTGCTGGCCACACTGGAGGCAGTGGCCTGGGAAGGGGGTGCTCACCTGGCATCAACTAGGGACAGAAAACTTTTATTTTCCCATTTAGTGTAGTGGTTAAGAGTGTGTGATTGGAGCTCCGGTGTCCTGGGTTCTAGTGCCCACTCAGCCACGGTGCCAGCTGGGTGACTTCAGGCCAGTCACAGACTCTCAGCCCAGCCTACCTCATAGGGCTGTTTGTTTGTTTTTGCATTTATATATTGCTCCCACAGCCCTTTGTGGCTCTCCAGGAGGTGTACGGTCCAAAACAAATATATAAAAATGAAATAGGAACTAACCACAAAATTCATACAGTAGAATACCAATACCAATAATACCAATATACTCTAAGAGATAACTACAGCCATCATTAAAATGACCTCAAGCAGAGCAGTGATAGAAACAGTCTTAAATTTTGAAGAATAAAAATATTAATGCAGCAGTTCTTAAAGCATCTGGTGAATAAAATTTCTTTTGCCTGGCACCAGAAAGATAACAATGAGGGTGCCAGGCATACTTCTCAGGGGAGTATATGCCATAGGCAGGATACAACAACTGAAAAGGCCTTTCTCTTGTTTACTATACCCCTCACTTTTTTAGGGGGAGAGAAGGACCCCTAAAATGGTCCTCTGTAGCCGATCTTAGTGGTTGGGCAGGAAGATACTGGGAGCAGAAGACCTACAGTATGTAAGCTGCGTTGAGTTCTTTTTTTTTCAAAGGTGCGATATAAATCTAATAAACGAAGAGAAACCATTAGTTCTATTGAAGTGCACACTGTAAATACCTTCAAATAAAGCACTTGCTGGGCACCCCGCATGGCCTGGCAGCATGCTGATTCACAGGGTCACTGCAGCCTGCCACTGTTTTCCATGCTTCCTCTGAAGACATAGCTGAGGGGCACCTGATCCCACTGGTGCTTAGTGTGCCAGGCTGGATCTTGGGAGGCCTGGCTCCCAGGCCCCACTCAGCCACGGACCTCTCTGAGTGACATTAGGCCACTCATGGACCTGCAGCTTACCTTACCTCACAGGGCTATTGGACCGTAACACGGAACAGGCCATGTAAACCACCTCAGGTTCCTTGCAGAGGAAAAAGCAGGATATAAATACAATCAATCAATAAGCAAACAAACACACCTATTTTCTCCTTAGGTCTACAAATAAGAAAAATTCAAAAGCCACAGTGGTTTGTGGTATGTCCCAGGTGTGTGTATGTTTGTATTTATTTATGGAATTTATAGATTGTCCATCTACTGGCATCTCAGGACAGTTTACAACAAAGCAATAGATAAAATAGGGTACAGCATAGAGTAATTCAATAATGTAAAAACCACATTAAAACTGATTAAACATTACAATAATGGGAAAATTAAAAGGGTTTTGCCTGGCGCCGAAAAGAAAAAAGTGTCAGCGCCAGGCAAACTGTTCTGGGGAGCGTAGTCCATAATTGGGGTGCCACCGCAGAGAAGGCCCTCCCCTGGGTAACCACTCTCCTAATCTCTTTCAAGGAGGGCTCCAGAAGAAGGACCTCTGCCTCAGATCTCAAGGGGCACAAGGGCATATAGGGAAGGAGGTGCTCCTTCAGGTACCCAGGGCCCAAGCCATTTAGGGCTTTAAGCCACAGTTATGGTTTGTTGTGTCCTCTGAACCTGGTGAGGGTGGTTTGTTGTCATGGTTAACAAATCCCTCAGAACCCATGTGCTATATTCAGGGTTGTATGTGGTTTGTTATCCATGGCAACAACCTACTCTACCCTATTGTGTGGATAGCACAATAAAATGAAGTTGCAGCTGGAATATTCAAAATGGGCCCCTGCCCATGCAGCTTAAATAAGCCAGGTTGGGCTACATGAATGTGAGAACCAAAGGGCTTGGTTAGCCTTACGCAAGTGGCTGGACAAACCACTGTTCTTTATGGAAG